TGTGTTGGAAAGGCGGTTTTTTGGCTTTGACAGGATTTGGTGCTCCAGCTTCCTACTGTTATGTAATCTGATAGGGAAAATCCAAGCTGCTGCACACACACTCACACACACACACACACACATACGCACACACTTTCTCCCTCCACAGCTCACATGCACTTATGCACTACACAAATATGCTCAATTTGTGCACAAACCGGTCCTCACCATATGCTGTTCTCGTCTGCCAATAAAATGTCTGCCGGCGTGTGTGTTTGCACACGCGTGTGTGTGTGGGTGGGTGGGTGGGAGAGTTTCCTCTGGAACTGGATATTACAGGGTGTAAAGTCGGATGTGAGAGGGAGCAGCTTCCACCTGAACAGCTAAACTCTGGTTGTGTCCTGGTGGAAGGACGTGTTGTTGTTGTAGATTTAAAAAGGTCAAAGGCGGCTTTCAGTCTGCTGGTTGTTTCTCCAGTTTATAGCGAACGGCTCTGATTAGACTCAAAAGCAACAGTTTAACATCCTTCTCTGTCCTTGTAGCTGATCACTTTCAGAGGAATGTGTTTTTTCTTTGTTCAGCCTCTGAACTCTGAGTCATTCAGGCAGAAACAGAGCCATAACTCAAGGGCTGAGCCAGCGCTGTGTCCAATCAGCAGAGCGGCAACTTAAAGTGGATCTTTAGGCTCTTTGTCACAGAGACCCTTCATTTGATCCATTTCTGTAGCTGATGGGAAAAAAGGCCAAAGAAAAGCCAGTCTGACAGACAGGAAACAGGATTTCTGAGGAATCCCAAAGAGCTGCTGGCTGAAAACTGGGCAGATCTCAGCCTGGTGAGCAGTGAGTCCTTAAAACATCTGAGGAAACTGGACCAGTGGAGGACAGAAGAAGAAGAGCTGGGCCTGTAGGAGCCCAGAGGAAACATAAGCTGCAGAAATGTGGAAATTCTGTGTTTAAATGCATATTTTAGTGACTCTCGCTGCCCTAAAATGAAAACAAAGGTGAGCTTTTCCTCCCTAAAACAGCTGGAGGTGAGCAGCAGAGCGATCGGCTGCTCTGGTGGCGTCTGCTTCCACAGAAAAGCTGCTCTCCTCCGTCAGGCTGAGAGCTAAAATCCACACAGCGAGAGGAGGAGTAAACAAAAAAGACAATGTTAACAACCAGCTCTGATGGAGACGGGAGGGAGGAGGGAGGAGGGGGGAGGGAGGGCGGGCGGGGGAGTGTGTGGGTGTTGGAGCCTCGCGGGACCCCGGCGCTGCAGCAGCCTTTCTGTGTGAGGGTGAGTAGAGGTGGGGGCCTCCAGGGACAGCCAGCCTGCAGCAGGTTGTGAGTCTGTGTGCGTCTGTGTGAGTCCGTGTGAGTCTGTGTGCGTCTGTGTGTTCTCCATCCAGCCCCCACACTTCCAATGGGTCAAGCTCGCCCCCCCCCCCCCCCCCCCCCCCCCATCGGCGCCGCTCCCCCCTGGTTGCCATGGTAACACACCTTGAGTGAGCCCCCCAGAGAGGAGCACACTCCTCCTCCTCCTCCTCCTCGTGTCCACTGCTCTGCTCTGTGCTGCCCTCCGTTCTCCTCCCCCCAGCCCTCGCACAGCTCATTCCCTTCTTCCATCTTTTCCTCCTCTTCCTCACTCTTCCTCACTCTGCCCATCTTCTCTCGGTTTCAGGCCCAAAAAACGCACACAGCTATTTTTGGGGTGGTGGACAGGGCCGGTAATGGGGGGCACGGCCCCCAGGGGACCCAGCAGCTCACACAGGGGGGAGAGAGGGAGCCGGTGGGAGAGTATCCGGGCTAGCAAAGACGTGTGTGTGTGTGTGTGTGTGTGTGAGTGTGAGTGTGTGTGTTGCTCAACAGTGAATATGAGGACGGAGGAAAGACACCAGAATGAGCTGAAAAAAACCTTCAAGACAGCTGTCAATCTGAGCAGTAGCAGAGGTGCCAGAAAGGTCAGACCCAGCAGCTCCATCTCAGACCCCTTTAGGCCTCAGCCAGCGGCTCAGAGGTCAAAGGTCAGGGCAGGCCTGAGCAGGCCGGTCCGTTCGGGCTGCAGGAGGAACCAGAGGCTGGCGGCCGGAATCAGGTCTGAGCAGAGAGCCCAGTGGAGGCGTCCGCTCTGTGATGTGAGCATAAAAGCTGCCAGCCGGCGCCCGCCAGCGCCGTCACATGTTAAACTTCTTAAAGACGTGACTCATGTGCCCCTCCCCCCCCCCCCCGTCGTGCCGGGGAACATCTGGTTAGACGGAGGTGGATTGTTTCCCCACTCCGAAACGGTCAGATCTGTGTCTCGTTCCTGAGTCGGAGGAGAGTTTAGCCGCCGTTTTGCAGCCTGTGGCCGACCTAATGAATAAATGCTCCCCATTAAGAGCCAAAATGGCCCCCAGACTTTTGCTTTCTGCCCATTTCGAATGAGGAAAAAGTGTTTTTTTTCATTGCTAACTAGCTAACTCTGAGTCCTAACCTTCACCCTGCCTCTCTCCTCTCATCCTGGTCCCCTGTGTTCTGGGTCCCAGCGCCGGCCTCCCAGGGCTGTACGTTGTGTGTGTGTGTGTGTGTGCTGTGTGTGTGTGTGTTGCTGTGCAGGCGGATCAAATGTGCTCTGAGAGACAAAGCGTGACGGCAGGACGCTCGGCGGCTCTGTCATCTCACCACGGCTCTCGCACTCGGACCGGCTCTCACAGGGGGCCGGCAGTCCCCACACACACTGATCAAAACAATGTATTTGTCAGAAAAGAGAAGTCTTTCATGGGACACACATGCGCACACACACACACACACACACTCGCAGAGGCCTCTCTCCATGCCCTTGTTCCGGACAGCCCAATTATCTCTCACACATCACTGTTCTCCCTCAGTTCTCTCTGTCTCTGTCACTCCACTTTGGTTGGCTTTTCTCATGCTTGGTCACATTTAAGCCGGCTCTGTTATTGATTGACCATTAATTAGCCGCTTACGCTGCCTTTAAGGGGCTGATGTCACCACCAGAAGCAGCATCATGCACATCAGACCTTTGACGACGGGCTTATTGAGCTACATGAGCTACATTTCCACTCAGACTGATTCATTTCTTCTAATTGACAGATTTTTTTATTGGCCTCGTGATGGAGGAAATAATCTATTTGGAGGCTGTGAGTGGAGTGTAGATCTGACCAATGACATCACATCACCTGTAGTAATTAAAATGTTACGTGCCTTCTGTGGTTCAGTATTTTCTGTTTGATCTGTGAGACACTCTGGAGGCACAAAGACCTCTTTCCCTGCTCCAGGTTGAGGTCACATCGCCTGATTGGTGGAGGGCTGCTCTGCCTCTGAGCCCAGGTCTGTGAAAACATGATTTCTGTTCACCCTCTCGTTGTTAAAATATGGAAAGTGTGCTCTGAAAACGGCATCAAACGGAAGCCCAATCGGAGGAGAAAGCCCCTCATTTGGAAAGTTGGCGCTTGGCGTGTGTTTCATGTGCCCTCGGCTTTAAAACTCGCAGCAACTTTGCAGCTTTGAGAAGGCAAAGGAGCAGCGGAGACGTCTTTGTTGGGACTGCTGGTGTAACGAGGCCTGGAGGGCGGCCGGTGGGCCGGTGGGCCGGAGGCTGGCGCTCAGGGCTGGAGGTCTTTCTGCCTCGCGTGGGCGTCTGCCTGCTCTGCCTCCTTGTTTGTGGCCTTTGTCCCTCTGTGAAGTTCCACCGGCACTTTTCTGTGTGGAACAAACGCATTGTTAAATATAAACTCACTTCTGAGCCCAAATGCTGTTGGAGGGAAGCGCGAACCCCCCCTCCTCCTCTTCCTCCTCCTCTGTTCCTCTCTACCTCTTCCTCCCTGCATGTCTCTCTCCATGTGACTCTCTCCTGCTGTTTCAATCTCCTAGTAAATGATAATGAACCTCTATCTGTCTCAGTGTGTCTCGGACACACTGGCGCCCCACACAACCCAGCAGCCTTTGAGGTTTGTGTGTGTGAGTGTGTGTCTGTGTGTGTGTGTGTCTGTGTGAGCGTGGACGGGGCTTGTTTGGGGATCGGGGACCAGTCTCATCCACATAAGCCCATGTGGCACCCACCACGCACACACTCCCCCACAGCTATTGAGACAGGATTAGGGCACCCTTGTGCTGGCCTTTGAGGCAAGAAGAGATAGGAATCTGTGTGTCTGTGTGTGTGTGTGTGTGCGTGTGTGTGTTAGCCGGTATGGGTGTCATGGATGCATGATTGAAGACGTTATTAACCCTGCAGTCCCCTGCAGCTCGGCGGCGCGTGTGTGTGTGTGTGTGTGTGAGTGTGTGTGCGTTTGCTCTTACAGGACATGAGATAAGTGTCAAAAAGGGAGGAAGACACAGATTGTGTGGTCGGTGTGTGTGTGTGTGTGTGTGTGTGTGTGTGTGTATCTCCACGGGGGTCGCAGATTGGCCCGCAGAAGCCACCATCTGATGTCTCCGGGCAGCGCGGCCCTCTGGGGCGTGCGTGCGCGCGGCGTGCGGCGAGCGTGGGCGACTGGGGCACGGGGCTGTGTGCGGCGCCGGTGATAAGGACAACAGGCAGGAGACGCCGGACCCGAGGGGTGCACGCCTGTGTTTGTGTTTAAGACGCCCACCTTCATCTGGCCTTTCACCACGGGCGCTGTGATGTCACTCACGCCGGCTTAAAATAGACTCAGATACACACAACCGCCGATGGGGCGGGTGGGGTGTGTGTGTGGAGGGAGGGGGGTGCACGCTGTCTGTTTGCTGTGGATGAATCACTGGACGGTTTACACCCTCTCCGCTCATTACTGCTCACATTTCTTTAGCCGGATAGTTCAAAACCCGTCCCCGTTTCTTTATGTTCGGCTTTACAGTCATCAGAAAAGGATCAAAGTGGTCTTTGTCTCCTTTGAAGTGAGGAAAAAGGCTCCTAACTCAAGGGGTGAGCCGTTGTTGTGGCTGAAAACAGAAGAGAAAAACCTGAGAGAGGCAGATTTCGGCACAAAGAGTGGTGCTAATCACCTGAACGTGACCCTCTGAGCTCTGTTCGGGGGGAGTTTCAGGGAAACGAGCGCGCAAATGGAAATGCTGCATGGAGCGAGGAGTCTGCTGAAATTAATCAGGAAGCAGCCTCCGAGCAGGGGCTCGGAGGGGAGGGGGCCGGATGAGGGATGGCCGGGCCACGGCTCTGTAGGAGGGGGGATAACGAGGGCCGAGGGATGGAGGGGACGGCCACCGGAGGGCCGGATCGTCCCCAGAGCAGCTGGGGGACAGACACTTACCAGTCGGCCACACAAACTGCCCGGTGTGGAGCATTTCTGATGATTAAACTCACTTATTTCCATGTTTCTGTGACCAGTGTGAGAGGAAAGATCACATGACCAAAGACCATGCTCTCCTTTTTAATCTGAACAACCCAATGGATTAGATTTTTCTTTTTTAAAACTTGTTATTTTTAAATAAGGTAGCTTTGACGGCGACTGGGAGGTCTTTAGGAGACGTTTTAGAGTGGATTAAATCGTCCTCTGGAAGGGGAAACGCTGATGGGGGAGTGGTTTGTGCAGAATGAGGTGAACTCGGTGGTTTGTGACGCAGCAGCAGCAGCATTTGTCTCCATGTCCGACCAGGCTCTGGCTGTCCGGCCGTCCTCCCGCCGGCCTGCTCCCAGCTGTACAGTAATGATGTGACATGCCAACACGTGCCTGTCTGTCTCCTGTTTGCAGAGGAGGGCATCAATCACGAGTGCAAGCTGTGTAACCAGATGTTTGACTCACCTGCCAAGCTGCTTTGCCACCTGATAGAGCACAGCTTCGAAGGCATGGGAGGTACCTTCAAGTGTCCCGTCTGCTTCACAGGTGAGAGGAGCACTAACCTTCAAGGACATCTATCTATCTATCTATCTATCTATCTATCTATCTATCTATCTATC